GACATTAAACAGAGCCCGACAGAGGAGGGAGGGGCGGGGAGGCTCTTGCCGTGCGAGCGCTTCAAGAGCTGACCTGCATCTGACCTCAAAGTGCACAAGCGTCCAACTTGAAGCGTTGGATGCAATTTTGAAGCTGAAATTGTGTTTGGTGTGAACGCAGCATGACAGTTTCAGTCCCCAGAAGCCCTAACCATTTAAGAAGTAAATCTGCTGACACAGTTAAACATGAGAGGGCTCCACACAGCCTGATGTCATTGCTGTTTTTTATATGTTCTTACTATTCGAACATTGTGATGTATTTAACCATCTCTACTGACTATCTGGGACCTCCTGACCTGTCTGTAGATTTTCCGTGCAGCCAGAGTTGCGTTCTTCATGTCRGCTCCGCTGCAGTCGGCAAAAGTGACACAACAGCTGGCAGGAATCCCACCAACAGGAAAATACACACTGCTCAACCAGCTGGTGTAGTTATAAACTCCACAGCAATGCAGCTACAGACAAACACACATAAAAAACTCAGAATGTTTAAAGGCTGTTTCTGTTTAATAAAACCCTTCATATAAATCAGTGCATCATCTGTGTATCATTGTACATGTGCAAATAAAACTCCATGGAGCACCTGTCAGCAGGAGAAATTACATTTTCACAGAAAACACAGTGACTGCTGAATGACTTTGCTGAAATCTTCTGAAAATCCTGAAAGGAGTTAGTTTAGCTAAAATAGCAAAACACTAGCTAAAATGTTCAGAACAGTAGCTATTATCTATAGGATAAGTAGACAAAAATGAAGCCAATATACTGAAGCATTAAAAAGCTTCAGTATACTGGCTCAAGCAAAGTGCTAGCTAAATGCTTAAAGTAGCAAAAGGTTAGCTAAAGGTAGCAGAACAGCATCTAAATATTAAAAGTGCCAGCAGTGGGCAGWGCTAATCCAGAAATTAGCTCTGCAATTTCTAAACCACTTATGAAAAAATTTAGTAGGTCCACAACTTCAAAATTGCTTGTGTCATAGAAAAAAAAGCAGAAGCTAATTTTAAAGCACAAGTTCAATTTGACACTTATTAGCCAACAATTCATGTACAATATGCACGCAACCGCCAACYAGCAGTGTATAAACCCATGTACAGTTTAATCCTTCAACCACCAATTGCTGGGGATCTGATTTCCTGAACCAGAACTTTGGCTCATGGTGTAAAAATTAAAAAGTTGTTGAGGCTTGCTAGTTGGACTGCTTCTTTAAAAAGTTGATGAGGATTGTTAGTTCAGCTGATTCTTTGTCTTTTTCTTTTGTTTGTTGTAGATTTTTCATTAAAGAAGCATCAATAAAGTAATTTTAAAACAGTTTATTGGAAAACTGAAGCGATGCATTCTGGGTACATGATGGACTGATGGGAAACGAAAGCACGGGGAACAGGAAACTAGTATCTTCCCTTCAAAATAAGAGCTTCGATTTTAAAGTTTTTCATGTTTCCATTGGATTTTAAAGTTTTCCAGTTCACCTGAAACTCATCAGACTGAAGACGTCTCTTGAAGGAGAGACGAATCGTTTCACTAAAGAAGAACCCATCCAGAGGACCTACCGGTACTTATATTTTTTCTTTTTGATTTTTTTTCTACTTGGATTAGAACGTTTTCCACATGGGCGTAACCGCCATAGGCACCGGGTGGGACATGTCCCCCACCACTTCCAATATCTGTGGCCTCTGTCCCCCCTCACCCCCACTTTTTTCAGCTGAAGCAGAATAAAGGACCTTTAAAAAAATGTGACCCCCCCCCCCCCCACTTTTAAGAAGGTGATTAGGTCCTTAGCTTTCCATGTACTTGCTCCAGTTGACCAAGAGATGTCAGTCTTCACCAGCATAACATCTTTAAATTATCTCTGGGTCTCTAACACCGTTGGCTGAATGCTTTTGAGCTCCAGTGTTTAAACTTATTTTTTTTAAAAAGGAGCTCCGATTGTAAAGTAAAATAAATCAATACATACAAAATTTTAGTATGGATTACAAACGTTTACTGTTTTTGCTTTTGCCTTCCTCCTACGTAAGCAGACACAAAGCATTATGGGAAATCAGAACCATGGCCGACTGCAACAGTCTGCAAGGATGTATACCTTCCCAATGTGTGTTTATTTGGGAAGGGTGCTGTTGGATAGATCAGGTGTGTTGTGATTCACTGAAAGTCTTACTTTCCGCTGTTAATGATAATGATCATGACTAGTAGATAATTAGTTATTAGCAGTACTGCATTTTATTTTTAGAAAGAACAAATCCACTTACAAATTATAATAATTAGTAAGTCTGCTAAAGCGCAAATGAAACATTTAGGTCCGTAATTAGCGGATTTGTGCTTGTGCCCACCACTGAAGAGTACTATAACAACACCATGACAGCCAGCAGAGATTTTACTGAGAAGATGTTCTTTTAATGGAAAAGTGAGACYTCACTGCATTTCTACAAGAAAATATTCACAAATAAAGTAAAATAATTTAAAAATGATTACAATTACAAAAAAAAAACATTAGTCGCAGCATCCATCTTCTGAATGAGCTAAATGTTTCAATATATTAACAACTAAAATAGTCCAAAGTATGCTGACATAATTGTACAGCATATTGTAAAAAATACACCGAGTACTATAAAACTGGAACTTTTATTGTTTGAGAACGAGGAGCTAGAGACGAGAAGATATAAAAGATGTGAAACTCAACGGGGCCAAGAACAGAACCCTGTTCAAATTGAAATTCTGGATCATTTTGCTTTTTAGTGTCTAAAATATGGCACAAGTAAGGAGACACTTTGAGGTGAAACGTAGATTTGTGGGTCTAAAGTAAACAATCTGGAACTCACTCTGCGCTGGACACCATCCACAGCCAGACTCCTGTCATCTTGTCCATCGTATCTCATCACCGCCTCGTTGTACGAAGTCAGAAACGTCCCTTTAATCTGGAAACGCAGATATTTCTTACTTCATCAAATAAACCATTTTTCTGTTAAAATGATAAAAATCTGGAATACTTCTGACCTCGTGACGAAAGATGAACCCAGAGATCCCACCGATGACTTCAGTCACRAAGACCAGAGACAGAAACACAGCATACTGAGGAGAGGTTAGAGGTCATGGTGAGACTGCGTAGTGAAACATAAATTTCATTTCTGTCTCCCCACCACTCAGAAGACACCAGTCAGACTACAGCTCTTACCAGTTTCAGCATCCAGGGGCGCCCCCTGCAGGTGGCAAAACAGCCAAACAGCCCGAACAGCACAATAGCAGCTCCAGTGCCGGCGAGCGCGTACGGTGCCTGGGAGGGGCTGTTGGAGATCAGCAGCATGTAGGGGCCCAACATGAACTTCCACCATAACCCCACTGCCAGCAGGATCACACCTGTCACCTGAGAGGAGGGAGGGGACCACAGGTCAAGCTGTTAGCCAATCAAGTGATTTCTTTGAATACTTTTCAATTAAGAGACAAAATAATATTTTCATACACATCAAGTTGAACAGATTGTTCAAAATTACACGGATTTTCCATCATTTTGCAGGTGAACATATTATACAGAAAAACTTATCTTTAAATTGATTTTACATCTTGTCTGTAAGGAAATGCTAAGTTCACTCCCTCCTCTTCTACCTCCTCTTCCCACTAGACTGTACCTGCTCCTCTGTAGATGTCGTTATTCGACCTCTGCCCCATGGCCACAGTTGGAACCTCGGCCAATTTACAGACTTAAAATCTGGTGTGGTAATAGCTGAAAGTTGTCCTCAAAGCAGACTTTGAGTATGATTGTAAAGGCATATTAACACCTCCTGCACTCTGGTGTTTGTTTTCTTTGTAAGGTCAGGCAGTAAATATGGTCTGAAAGTATTTTGTATTGTTTTTCTTTTAGATGCAACTGGCAGCAGATGGACTGAGTCACAGAAACAGGTTGAGTTGTGAATCATCAGCTCATGACAGTAAAGCCATAAACAGACAGGAAAAGATGCTCAGATCAGCTTTCTGACAACAAGACAAGTGGAGAAACAACCAAATCACAGCCATCTCTTAACGTAATCTCAGCACAGGTTTTAACCATCATCTCACACAGAAATACAATTGTCTGATATATAATCTGTGTCTAAAGGTTTTGTCATGTACACTTACAACTAGGGGTGTAAGAAAATATCGATACACTGAAATATCGCAATATTTCATTTCCCGATATTGTATCGATATTCTAAA